TCTATCCGACACTTTTGGCCGTTTTGAGTTGAGACCATGTGGCCAGAAACCAATAAATGTTTTATCCCCTCTGCCTCTATCAAAATTGTAAGAGTCGTTATCAAGAATATTCAAATAATTGCATTCGAAAAAAAGCTTGACATGTTTACGTTAATATCTCAAGACTAAGTGCCAAACAGATAGAACTTTGTAATTCTAGGGTAGCACAGTGCTTGCCAATTGCTCATGCCCACGCCCCCCGCACTTTTTTGTATTTTGTTTTAAAAGTGTTTTACAGAACACGCAAAATAATAAGATCACATAATGCCGATGAATAGAGGTGTTGCAATAGAATTACAAACACAAAAAATAAAGGGGAGAGATAAGGACGACCTAAATATGTTTGATATTTTAAAAAAGGAGCAAACTACACCAGAGCACCCGCCAACCACCCACTGCTGCTCCCACTTTTGCAATCTTTACGAGACTTTCGTTTCGTACCGCCCATCTTCCTGTATTTCCAAGCGGGGCATTGAAGAAGACTTCTTTGTGTAGTTCATTTATTATAAACGGTAGATGATGATTTCATCTGGGAACACGGATTAACAGGGACAATGAATGATACAGGTACGACATAACATGAAATAATATGGGGTACACCTCTTAACATACAGAGAACATGAACTATTATCATATAACACATAACCATAAAGGCATTAGGCATTAGTTTGCTCCGAGGAGTGGTCAGGCGTGTCTGAAACCAGCTCCTCATGGAGACAATTAGCAGGAAGACACTGAGGTGGACGCTGGAAAGGAGAGATGAGCAGCTATGGACATGTGCCGCCTGCTATGATTCTAGCTCTGGATCCAAGTAAATCCAAGACATGGTCACTTCTCAGGTGATCCCCACCCCCACCAAAGTTACCAAATCGCCAGTTACTAATAGGCGATACTGCCCAGACTGGTAAACACACCTTTACGGTTTGATAATGAAGTTTTTCGTCTTCTAAACAAAAGCTGTGCGTCCCATTCCCCTTTGGGAAGGGTATTTTATCGCAAATATTTTGTGGGTGCTTTTTTTTACCTCTGGGACATATTCCCACACAACCTAGGCAAGGATGATCAAAGCCATCCGCCTCTTTAATGACTTCGTCAAAATACTGAATTCGAAGACACCGACATTTTTCTGCTCGTAGGCCAATTTTCATCCTTTACACTTTTTTAAAAAGTGTTTATTCATATTTTTTTTTATCTTGCTCAACATATTATACTTAAGACCATCAGGCACGAAAACAGAATGAATATTTGCAGTTTCCATGGACACTCATGCTGTGGAAGTTACCAAACTTTGGTGGCCATTTTCTCTTGAATTTTACATCCAACATCAGGTGACCCCCACCTCCTTCAGTTACTTAATGCCACCCCCATTCCCTTGAAAATACACGTGTCGGTGGGTGGTACGCAAAATTTGGTCTCATAACGGTGTAAAAAGACGCGATGTTTTAGAAAAGCAGTCGTCTAGAATTAAGAGTAATTTCTGGTAAAGATCTATTCCCCATCCCAACTCCTTTCCAAGTTTATTCTTCAAATAAGTTAAAATCGCTTTTTTCCAGCATGGCATCACGACGACCAAATGTTAGTCTCACTGAAAGTAAAGACTCAAGATGTGCAGAGTAGGTCAATAGGCTATTACAAACCTTAGAGAGCTCATATTTGCTGTGGTACATCATGTATCATTGGGGATTTAAAATCTATTGCTAAAAAAGTAAATCTGGTACGGTTGCCAAGGAAACGACGCCATATTGGATTTTGTATACCTATTTAGATCCCATTTTATTCACTTCTGTTTCAATAAATACACTTTTAATTTGGCACGTGCGTAGAAAAAGTACAGATCTAAAAATGGTCTGAGGAATTTTTGATATATGCTTTAGTTTTCATTTTATGGAACTTAAAAATCAGCTTTTGCATAACTGTGAAAAAACACGAAAAATCAGGCTTTCGGAAGCCATTTATCAAAAACTACAAAAGCAATCAAAGATTCCTCATAATTCTTTTTAGAATTAGTTGTCATTAACATTCTGTGAAAGTTACATTAAAATTGAATAAGAAACAACGCAGAAAAATGGGAGGATGTGCGTGAAAATAGCATTTTGAGAAAACGGCCGATAAAGGTCAGAAAAGGCCAAAATAATTCTCTTTCCAGTAAAAACCTTCAAAACGTATTTCAAACTAAAACACGGCAACTACTTGATAATATTAACACAGCAGACAAATAATGGAGGTTTCCTACTAAAACTGAAGCATATAAGCAGTGCAAGACATGCTTTTTGCGACAAAAAGTGAGAATTATTTTCTTTTCAAAAGCCCCTACCCTCTGCTCTAAAATCCCTCCAAACAACAGTTTAGGGTACAGGAACAATTTCCTGCGTTTTTGGACATTGTTCAGGAAATATCCAGGAAATATAACAAGTGATAATTCCAGTTTTCGTACTTTCACCCAAAAACGCAATTTTTAGGTGCCCCACCAGTCCTTAAAGGAGGGTTCAAGTAGGCCTTTACCCATTTTTTTAAAATCCCAAGCTCTTCCGTATATTATTATCGGGTCATGTGGTAGAGGTGTCCCCAGAACACCATGACGACAGTATCATTTACAACCAGAAAGGGTGTGGGTGTTGTGTGTGTGTGTGTGTGTGTGTGTGTGTGTGTGTGTGTGTGTGTGTGTGTGTTAGTATGTGTGTGGGTGTGTGTGTGTGTGTCTGTGTGTGTGTTTGTGTGTGTGCGTGTATATGTGTGTGTGTGTGTGCGCGTGTGTGTGTAAGGGGAGGGGGGTCAAATGTAAGGGTGGGGGGGGTTACCCCCTGATGAAACAATTAAGATCATTTAAGAGGGAGGCTTTAACCCTGTCTGTCAGAGCCAAACCGTACTGAGAAGGATACAACGCCTCAGCAGAAAGACTGCGATACTCAAACAAAATTTCTCCTTACACGGAAATCGAAATCGGGTCTCGTGTGTGCGACAGCGAAATGCCTAACCGTAAGACCACAGACACCGGTCAGAACTTAGTTTCAATGCACATACCAAGAAGGGACGAAGCGTCTACATAATCAATATTAATCACTGCTTCCCTTCACTGATTTAGGAACATCGTCGAAGTCAAATTCATCCATAAGCATAAGTTTTATGAATTTAAATAGCGAAAAGCTGTTTGAATGCTACTTAATAAATACCCTGTTCAACCCTTTTGGCCCTCTCTCGTATGCAGTCACAAGCGCAAATTAAGCTTATATCTACACAGGTCTGCCATGAGTGCTTGGGTTTTTTTCCTCAACATTCATACCATCCTATAATCAAGTCATGGCATGATTGTGGCATCGGTTCTTGGCCATGGAAGGCTAGAAAAAGATAGCCAGATGTTGAAACAAAAGAGATATTTTGTAGCATTGACACTTCTGCTACTCTGCCTTCTGTTGTTTGTTGGTTTTCTTTTGTTGTTGGGGTTTTTTTTGTATTAACATTTTTTATACATTTGCTGTTAATATTTTTAAAAGCCTCGAGCCCATCAAATGACATTGTTCCCGTCTCGCACTTAATAGTTGTAAAGCGCATAGAGCATGCTCCTGAGCATGGATATGTGCTATATAAATGCAATTATTTTTTTTTATGTTGTTATTATTATTTATTTTTTATTTTTTATTTATTATTATTATAACGAAATTATGCCCAAAGTGGGCTTTTAGTTTATCGGGTTATTTTAACTTGTTTTCAAACACAATTTATGGATGTGCCTCAAATACATTTTACGTGGAATTGTGTTCCTATAGTCAGGACCCTTTTCTTGTGTAGTCTCGGTTCTTTGACTCACTGTGATTACCCTGTCAAAAAGGTCAGTCTTTGTCCTGGATACCAACAGAAGTCGTGTAGCAGCTGTCTCTCTTATCTTCCGAGACAAACGATTTGCAAACGAATTTTGTTTGGCGAAATAAGAACAGGAATATTTTTCTTATTACGTAACTGTGCTCATCTGCTTTATTTGTAGTAAAATGAAGTCTATAAGCAGTGATTTGTATTTAATATCGCCCGCGTGGGACTCTAAATGCATATCCACTAAATTAGGTCAAAAATCGTTTGTTTATTGGCCTTTTTGGTTTATTTGAGTTTTGTTGGGGGTCTTTGTTTGTTTCGTTGGTTTTTTTGTTTTTGTTTTTTGTGGGTTTTTTAAAATTTTGTTTGTGTTTTTGGATTTTTTGTTGTTGTTGTTGTTGTTGTTGGGGTTTTTTGGAGGGGGGGGTGTCTCAAATTCCGTTATTCACAATCGTAATTATCATTGGATATGCTATAATATGGAAGTAAAAATGAACATTCTTCAAAACGTGTTTTAAACAATTCTGAAAGATAATAAGAAAGAACGTATGTGTATTTGGTGCATACACGGTCAGAGTCAAACAAAGACTATAGTTTTAGATAAGGAACTGTGCTGAAAAATGAATGTCATTTGCAACTTGGAAAAACGTGTGTCACTTTTCCCAAAAAAACTACGACAGCTACAGAGTTGAAAGTTGGCAAGTACCTCCAAAAAGATAGAAAGGTCCCCGTGACGGAGCCCGATTTTTTATTTAGAGCTATTCATTTCCTGAATTTAGACAAAATATATTTGACTAAAAAATCACCGTCCCTCTTTGGCCTTTGTAATTATTCAACTGAGAAACGAAACCAATCTGCATAGCTGTCCTCCACAGCGGAAGTGCCAGAAGTGATATTTCGTGAGGCCCATTTTTTAGAGTATAGATCTAGATCTAGATCTACACCTTCTATTTTTTTGTACCTCTTGAGATTTATAGCTTCATTCCAGTAGAGTGTATATTATATAGTAGGCCAATGACTTTCAGTTGATGTTAATGCATCGATGTTTCCTTTCACCGAAAGGGGACCCCAGCTAGTTAGGAATAATGCTCCTTTTTTTTATTTATATTTTTTAACATGATAAAACATGACGTAGTCCCTGGAGGTGAACTACAACT